TTTAGGAGTATTACCAACAACAAGTTACGACTCATGCAGAACGAAGAGTTTCCTCTCATGACCTCTCTCCATGAACTGTAAGTTGTGTTTTTGCATCAGAGTGCATTGTTATATGGCGCCCAACTTCTTTTAAACTATGTCCCTTCATTAAACCAGCAACTTGACTAACAACGCGGTGTCTCGTATCGAGGAAATGACTTTCGCTAGGCTGAGTAGATTGACCCTCTTGTAAGTATCTACCATCTGCTGTTGTCCGGGCGCTTCTTACTGGGCGTGGCATGTTCGCGACGTTGTTTTCTCTACTGTTTTTCTCTGATTTACTGCCAGAGAACTCAGCAGTAATGACGTCAGAAGTATTCACCCCGCTGCGTTTGAGAAATTGCTGGAACTGAAAGAATTGTAAGAGCCTTTGAAACTTTGAAAATGTTTTGGCATTGAACAGTTTTGGACGGCAGACGAAATAAAACTCATTTCTCTTAATGCAGGCGGTTGGCGAACAACAAGCTGAGCATACTGCCTGATCACATTTTCGAGTCCCTTGGCTCGCTTACTAAACTGTAAGTACCCCCCCCCCCCTCCTTTTCCCCAGAGACAGCCTAAATCAGCTTCAGGGTTGAGGAGTTGAGTCACTAAATGCCCATTGGTAATTTCTCAAATTTGCTCGCAGGGACCTCGGTGGAAATCCAATCCACATCCCAGGGCATCTATTCCTCCCACTGCAAAACCTGACATCCCTGTGAGTATTTGTATTTTATACCGTGAGAAGCAGGAGGAGATAGGGGAATACAAATTTTTAAGACAGTTTATTTGCAATTTTAACAGTGGCCTGCAAGATATCGACATCGGAAACATCGACGTGGATATGTTTTCGGTGTTACCGAAACTATCCAACGTGTACGTATGAGAGGGAATGACTTAAAAAGTTCGGTTGTTGTTCGACCGGGTCAGGCGCTTATTAAGGGAAAGGGGGGGGGGGGGGCGAGGACCACGCCCTCTTCATGTCGGTCCTAGACAGCCGCCCGTAGAACTGAAAGGTAGGCAATGTGAGCTACGAACCCCTTGCTGTATGTGGCAACTTGCTCCCCCCTCCCCTCCCCCGGTCGGCTAGCCACTAATAAGCCCCTGGACCAGGTTCAACTTGATTATACCAGGAGGCTGATTCACGCCGAGCACTTCTGTAGGTATACTGTACCGCATGCACGAGTGCGGGCGGGCTTGCCTATCGCCCCTGTCCACGGCGCCTTACGAGCCGAGTGAGTAGGCAACCCGCCCGCACTCGTGCGTGCGGTACAGCATAACTACAGAAGTGCGCCACGTGAATCAGCCACCTGGTATGCATGACTGTTGTTGACTAATGTTTCCTTTCTGGGCGGTTAAACATTGCTTTTTTCAGATACTTCAAATTTTACTACTATTGCTCGTTCGTCCCACACGTGCCACGCTGCAAGCCAAACAACGATGGTGAGTAACGTCTTTGACATTCCGCCGGTCAAAATGTGAAAGAAGAACACGTAATCGTATAAGAGAGTGACAACGGTCACGCACTTTTTTTGTGTTCGACCGTGAGTTTTATGAGTGAGAGCAACGCGTGCGGACTCGTCCCCTCCTCTGTTAAGGTGTGTCCTCCATGGAGCACCTGCTCCACGCGCTGCCCCTGCGGCTGACGGTGTGGCTGGTGGCGGGCTTCACCCTGGGCGCCAACGTGCTCGTCATGTCCGGGAGGGCGGCCCTCAACGACGACAACCGCGTGCTGAGCCTCGTCATCCGCAGCCTGGCCGCCGCCGACCTCCTCATGGGAGTGTACCTCGTGGTCATCGCCTCGGCCGACGAGGTCATGCGCGGCCAGTACAACAGCTATGCCCACGCATGGATGACATCCTGGGCGTGCACGTTGGCCGGCGTCCTGTCCATGGTCTCTTCTGAGGTATTTAATCGCAACAGCTACCAAATTCATTTAACGCGCCTGTTTCGTGAATCCGTTATGCTGATGACCTTCGGCAGGTGTCCGTCATGACCCTGGTCTTCATGTCCCTGGATCGGTTCCTGCTCATAGCCGACCCGCTCGGACGCAACCTTATGTCCTTCAGGTCCTCCGCCAGAGCAGTCGCCGCCATATGGGTCTCGTGCGTCATCCTGGCGGTGCTCCCAGGCAGGTCCATCGGGGTGCAGCAAGGGGCGTCACCTCTGCGTCGAGTGCACTTAACACAGAAACGTCTGTTCTTTTCCCGCAGTGGCCGTACACTGGCGCTCCAGCACTCGCTTCTATGGCGCCAACGGCATGTGTTTCCCGTTGCACATCGACGACCCTTACCTCACCGGCTGGCAGTACTCCACCTTCATCTTCCTCTGCGTCAACGGCGCGAGGCAAGTCAAAACGTCGCGCGCTCCCCCCACCCCTTCTCCCACCATTTTCCCGCCACACTAAGCTTCGTCAGATTGCCGCTAGATGGCAGGCGCTCTGATAATTTCAGTGTACAGCATTTAAAAACGAAAGAAACGTATTGTTTTCCTTATTAACCGCAAAAGAAATGGTCTCTCGCAGCGCAATAAGCTTATTCTTTCACTCGTCAAAGGTCATGACTACTGTAAAACGAGAGGGAAAGGGCTTGTGCAGTGCTGGGCGCCGGCTCTCGCTGCGCAAAACGCACGTTGTCCATACTGGTCGGTTCGCCTGAACATTGAACGTTAATAAAGGGTGTTTGCCTCTTCATGGCATGCGAGTGTGATGGGCCTTGTGCCTGTCGCCTTGTAGAGTATGGCAATCAAGACATACCCAACACATAATTTTTGTTTTCCTGGGGCAGTCGGCTGTCAGACACACCGGCGCCCCTCATTAAATCGAGTCATCCCAACTAATTATGAATGATATGAGCGGAGTCGCTTGGCCCAAAGGGTTCGTGAGTGTGGAAAAGAGGGGGGGGGGCGGTTATGAATTTATCTACATGGAATCTGCTGCAGCCTTCTTCTAGTGGCGTTGCTGTACCTGGGCATGTTCCTCAGCATCGTGCGCACCCGGCGCGCTACTCCGCTGGCGGTCGGTGACGTGGACGTGGCCAAGCGCTTCTTCTTCATCGTGTTGACGGATGCCTGCTGCTGGGCGCCGATTGCCGTCATGAAGGTCCTCGCCTTGGCGCACGTCCACATCTCGGGTCAGTAAGGGAATGCCCTAAGACTGTTACGCTCAAGTTTTCTCGGATTCGCTCAAACTTCCCTCCTGCACGCACACCCTGCAGCTGAGCTGTACGCGTGGGTGGTGGTCTTCCTCGTGCCCATCAACTCGGCCATCAACCCCGTGCTGTACACGCTCACCATACCCAAGTACCGCCAGGTGCTGGCCCGGCTGGCTCGCCGCCTCGCCGTGTGCGACGCCGTGCTCAGCACGCGCAGGCCCTCCGCGGGTGAGTCGCCTCCGGGCGCTGCACGTATCTGTCTCTCCAGAGCAAGGTCTTCCGGGGGGTGCGGGGGCTACGTCGACGTTGAGGGGGACATGGAGTGGCAACTCACCCCCTGTGACAAAAGTAGAGTCTTATACTGTACCGCATGCGTTGCTTGTGGGCGTGTCATTCGAGGTGCTACTCCATCTCCATGTCTCCTCCGCCCCCATGTCCCCGGGCCTGCAGGGTGCTGGTCTGGGCAAGGGGCTGGAGGCGAGGTGGGCATGCAGCGCCTCCAACCCCGGCGCCTGCACCAGCTCGGGTCCAGCCTAACTCACCGGGAACACTGACTCCAGACTTGGAACTGTCCAGATACGGAGTCCTCCCGCGCGTCTCACAGCCATCGGGTTCAGACGGCGAGCGGCGTCACCCTGAGGACACCGGCGGACCGGCCGAGCCCCGGCTCCAGGAAGACTTCAGCATCCACCATGGCCGACGGCAACCTCGGCCTCCCTGGGCTCAGCGCCGGAACTCTCTTCGGGGATCAGTCGGGGCCCCCACTGCCAGTACATGTTTGTGAGGGGTACTGCTGAGCAAGTGGCTTCACTCCAAATGTAACATATGCACTTTAGGAACTACATGATCTCTAAAAGAAATGTGATAAGACAACAACTGAAATAGAGCGTAACACTCTCCCACTGCGCACAGTCTTTGCAGGGCTCAGCAAAATCCATTTGAATGTTTCGGTGTTCATTTAAGAAGGCACAGTTTTTGTTAACATGTGATGCATCTTCAGTGGTATGATATTTGCGCAATGTATAGAAATATCACTTACGTATAAGCAATGATATATAGTACAATCAACTTAAAAAATGAACATTTATTCTTTTGAAATATGATACAACGTTTATAATAATTATACATGTCAGCAGCCCTTTGGAATTACAATGCAATAATCCTACTCTGCTTATCTGCAATGAACTTGGGTATTTCATAAAGAACAGACAGAATTAAATAATGATCTGGATAATTAAAATGGGTGGAGATTAAAAACGTCAATAGAAATATTTTAAAAAATAATACTCCAAATTTACTTCTACAAAGCTTAAATAAATTTGTTCAATGCACTGTACATAAGAATGTGTGAAGATAAGACACTATGTACAAGCAAACTGCACATTTTTGTTGTTCGATACAGGTTTTTAAAATGTGTACGAATATTTCCGCTGAAAAGGAGTTTTATAGTGTAGATTTCTTTAGATTAAAAAACACAAACAACAAAATCAAAGCAGGCTAAAACCCTACAATTAAATCTGTTAGTCTTGTACATTCTCAAAATGATACACAAGATAAATTAGGGGCCAAAACACATGTGCTGAAAAATAGGAGCAATTTCTCTCTATAAAAAAATCACTTTGCTATGAAAAAAACTATCTATTATAATAATAAAGGTTAAGTTTTGTGAGAGAATGTTAAGATAACTTATCACAGGGAAATACCACATAATATTATTATAACATGATTATTCAGGAAAAGATGGCACAATGGAGAGGATTTCATGGCACAATGTACAACTAACTCATATGGAATGGAGAGCCTATACACACAAACATGAAGTTCAATTCATTTTTTACAGTCTTCTTTCACTATAAAATAGACAATTTTTAAACAATTCCTTCTAAAAGAGTAATCTAAAGAGGGTCATGATAGCATACACTGAACTTGAGAATTACTGAAACTTTCAACATTTCAAGTAATGTGGTTTATAAAAAATTTCAATGCTACTAAAAATCACTAAAGTTTGAATGTCCATAGATTCTAGGTATAAAAAGCGATTGGATGCATGAAGGGAAGGCAGGTAGTCACGTAACAATTGTTAAAAGTACAGTACAATCACATATTGAGAGAATAATTATATGAGTTACACAAAGAATACTCCAATTCACTCAGATTGATATTAGAAAATTGCATGGTACAAATAAAATAATTTGACACAAAAAGCACCTACTTATTTTACAAACACTCAACCACAAGTGTACTTCAACATGAATCAAAATGCACATTCTTTTCACGCTCTCACAGGACTTCTGGCAAAAGATTGGTACATAGTTTTGTATTGCTTGCTTTGGTTTTGTCAATAAGATTTACCACTGTAAAGCCTCTGTTTTGAGATGATCTATTTTCGTGAAAAGTAAAGCATATATAGCAAAAATTTTAACCAACACGTCAACCAAGTAATGTGACTGACAGTGGTAAGATATTTGCTGAAAAAATTATCATGACTTTGAAAATGACTTAGATTAGTTCCCATGGCTTGGGGCTTGTCAGCACGCACACGATTTGCCGTTGGGCGGTTCTCCGTTTGCTTTGCCATTGGGGTCTAACGCTATTTTTGTCGGGTCTTTTGTGTCGTTTCCGTGCAGCAACTTGTCATTGAGAAGGATCTGAAATACAAGAAAACATGGTTAATTAATTAATTAATTGTTCTGGAGCAGTTTCCTTAGAAATGCCCCACGAAATCGCCTGAGCCTGAGCGCCTGTCTGGTGTATGTCTGGTGGATGTAGGCACACCATCATGCTTGCAGGTGTGACAGAACGGCCTACCTCACAGGCGCTCCCACAGATGAAGAAACCGTGATTACATTCCATATCGACGATTTCCAAGACAATTTGTCGATTAGGCACAGTTTATCCAGTCAGATTTTCCACAAAAAAAGAACTTACCTTAGACACCAACGCTCGAGCAGCCTCCTCGATGTTGACGTTCTCTTTGGCTGAAGTCTCAAACCAGCCAGTGAAACCTTTCTCCTTGCAGTACTCGTCCATTTTTGGTGGGTTGTTTACCAGACCCTCCTTCTGCTGGTCACACTGCAAGACAAGAGAGATTTTAGTGTAATCAAATCATGGCGCTGCTGCTTTCTTGGCGTCGTAATTAGCTTCTTTGTTCATTATTTTACCCTCCCCCCCCACCCCCCGAATGCAGAGTTAACGTGACGGGTGCGAGCCTCACCTTGTTGGCCAGGAGCACGCAGGGGATGGGTGAGCCATCCGCCATCTGCACCTTGGAGTCCAGGTCTTGTTTCCACTTCACCACAGCGTCGAAAGTGGACGCCCGGGTAACGTCGAACACGATGAATGCGCCCACAGCCTCCTTGTAGTAGACGCGGGTCATGTTGCCGAAACGCTCCTGACCTGTGTGAGGAATTTTCAGTTAGGAGACCCTTTGTAAATGAGGGAGACAAGTTATAAGTAAGTACCACCCTAAAAAAACTTGTTGGGACAACGTAGGGTTGCCGCCAGCTCATCACCCCCAACCACTCACCTGCTATGTCCCACAGCTGCAGGCGAATGATGGTGGCCGGGTCCCAGTTGAGCACCTTGAGCGCGAAGTCGACGCCGATGGTGGCCCGGTAGTGCTGCGAGAAGAACTGGTGCACATATCGCTTGATGATTGAAGTCTTCCCCGTGCCGAGCTCGCCGATCACCAGGATCTTGTACAGGTGCTCGCGCTTCTCGCCAGACATCTGCGCCTGCAGACAACAGAAAGGGGGTAAAGTTAGCGAGGCCGGGGTCAGTGCAGAGACAATAACACGGTTCCAGATCGAATCTCCACCACACAGATAACGGTTGTGAGGCACCCCCCCCCCTAAATTTGAAAACGGAAGAGAAATCAGAAATCGCCGCCTCGGCTACGCATGAAAGCCTCGATGTGTAGACCCTCCTTACAAAGCAGTCAAACGGCGAGGGCTCCACGATCAAAGGCGAAACTGGCGCGTTATCTCGCCAATCTAGGGAGTCGTCCATCGAGCGCCTCATCATGGGGCCCATGAGGCGCAGCCGCCCGCGCCTGGACCGCATCTTGAGGCCGGGGCCGGGGGAGTAGGGAGGGAAGGGGGAAGTCCTCGGGCGACATATACTTCCACAAGGGCCAGGAAATAAAATCGCTCACGGCCACCAGTTCATGTGAATGAAATGTGAAGAGTCAGAGGTAAGTGCGGCAGGGGCGTTATATCTATTCCCCTGTCAGTCACGTGGAAGTGAGGCGGTTAGGTCGGGGCCGGTCGGAAAAAAGGAGGGGGGGGGAGAGTGGAGGGGGCTCACAAAAGCAGCAGGAGCAGCCTCGGCCCAAAGGACGGGGAGCGCTCAGGACAGGACTCTCCGGAATACTGCTGGAGCCTGGCCTGCTGGAGCACGGCGTCCGGGCAGCCAACGCCTGGCCGTACGCCATGCGTTACATAAGTGACCGTGGGGTCCTGCAGGCAGAGCCGAGCCGAGTTGAGCCGAGTCGAGCCGAGCCGAGCCGAAGCCGAGCCGACAGTAAGCTGAACCGGAGTGGAGGAGCCAGGCATAGTCAGGGTCGCGAATGAATTCAAAATGACCGGAGGTCGAACAGATCTTTGAGATGAAGGGAACAGACCGAAGATATATTCTGCCTCCCGACACGGAAATGGCCACTTTAGGGGGGGGGGGTGTAAAAGACATATGACGTGTCTTGGCGACTAGTGCTGTGGTTAGTTGACAATTTGCGGCTGTGGTTTACGTTCAAAGACTCTTAAGATCCACCATACCTTTTGGTAAGAGTCATACTATTGGCTAATAGGCACAGGCCGTGTTTTATGAAACCCACAGTTATTGCAATCGGCTCAAAAGGTCGCAACGAATCCTGCCAAGACACACGCAAAGCTCTTTCACAAACCTAGTTTGAAAATTGAACAGTTTTTAGGGGCAGTTGAGGAATAGACGGTGAGTTGGAGGAATGAGGCAGTGACCGGGAGAGGGGGATAAGAGGAGGGGGAGTGGGCAGTGGGACCGGTTAACAACCTAGAGCCGGGCCGGAGGTCAAAACACGAAGGACTGGTCCAAATGAGGTTATATAAAGACGGTGGCTGGCATAAATAACGCACCAATAGCGTGCTAACAGAAATTTAAAAGCTCGTAAAAACCTCCAAGCCAACTCGAAGACCAAGTGACCCTGGTACGGGCGCAATCAATGCATTTTTGCCCCGCGTTCTTGTTCTTCTTTTGGTGCGACCAGGTGCCGCCGGGGTGGTGAGACCGCCTGCCATCCTCGAGTAGGCAACCCGCACGCACGCCTGTGCCGCGGCACAGCCCAACCACACGCCTGATGTACCATACACCACCGCACCGCTCGCAATGCATTTACCTTCTCGCGCACCTTGCTGAAGCACGAGCAGATGAGGTCATAGCACATGCACAACATGGCGCAACCCCGCGGGACCACCTCTGCACTCGAGCGCACGCACAAATACCACGAGGGTAGAGGAGCTAGTGGCGCTATAGGTCGCTAACTGCGCACTGACTGCGTGCGGGCGCGGGAGGCCGGGAGGCCGGGGCACCGCCGGGGGGCTCGTGCCGAGCTCAGCCCCGCAGGCAAACCGCTGACGAGGCTGGCTGGCCGAGCCGGGCCCTGATGGTGGTGCTGACCCAGGAGGGCTGCAGCGCGTGGAGGGTGCGGTAAGTAGATCACGCAAAGAGGCGGACGATCCCCGCCACCCGTATCGTTACGCAGCTACGGGATTGACTGCAGGGATGTACCCTATCGCGAACAAGAACAGAGATAGCAGTTCCATCCATACCCTGATCATGTATTTTACAGAGAAGGAAAGAACAAAAAAACAATGAAAACACACACACGGACTGACCGTAAATATATAGATTTACACGTTACTGACACCGACACCTGCGAAGAACGCGTGCACAGCCGGCGCGAGTACCCAGTAATTATAACGTGCGCGTCATTAAAAGTGAAACAGCGGCCTATTAAGACGTGTTTACAAGAGCTGACGGGAGTTTGCAGCAGTGGGCGTGTGCGAGAAACGTGTCAAGTTGCACATTTCCCATTTGCAAAGCCACATTGCATTTATCTTCCCAGTGCGGTAGGCAAGTGTGTTTTGCTGGAATAACAACATAACTTGCCCCGTCTTGTGGTTTTTGATCCAAATACATGCTGGCATAAATAAATAAACGGTCGATCCGTTAAGAGACAGAGGTTGAACTCTTTGAGCTCGACAGTGATTTACAAGCTCGGTGAAAATGGCTACAAATTAGGCGCCCTCCTC